AGTGAGCGAGGTCAGACTAGCCGGGTCGGTATCGTGCGGGCAGCGTGGTACAGGGGGAGTAAGCGGAGAATGGTCGGGGTCACAAGCCAGGTTCAGCAGGTAGCGGGCAGCGCGGTACCGAGGGTCAGGCAGAAGGATGGTCAGGGACGAGCCGGGGTCAGAGCAGGAGAGGGTCAGCATAAGTCAGAACAGGCAGAGTTTGGCAACAAGGAAGCGTACTTACAGGATCAGGAACAAGACCTTGCGGCAACCTGGAGATGCACAGGGCAGCTTTAAATAGAGCGCCCTGTTCTCCCATTGGTGCGGCCGCGATCGCCACTGCGCATGCGCGGCCGCCGCCGCGATCGCCGAGGACTCTGCACTCGCCGGCTGGGACGGATCGGCCGTCTGCGCATGCGCGCACCGCCGAGGACCCGGGATCCCTGACATTGCCCCCCCACAGGCAACCTCCGGATGCCCAACCGACCCCTACTGAACGGCTGGTTCTGAAAAAATTCCCGCACAAGTCTTGGGGCGTGCACATTTTGGGCCGGCTCCCATGAATTTTCCTCCGCCCCATATCCTTTCCATTTAACCAGAAACTGAGTTTGGCCACCCCTCTTTCCTACAATCTAAGGTAGCTTCAACTTCAAATTCCTCCTCCCCATCCACGTCTACTGCCTCCGGTGGTTTAGACCTTCGATCCGGGAAGGGGTCTGGAGTTGCTGGTTTCAACAGGGACACGTGGAAGACCGGATGAACCTTCATAGACTCGGGCAGTGCAAGCTCGTATGCCACCTCGTTGATCTTACGTTTTACCCGAAAAGGCCCCAAGAATTTGGGAGCCAATTTCTTCGAAGGGCAGGGCATTTTTAAATTTGCGGTGGACAACCAAACCTGGTCTTCTGGCTGCAAACTCAATTCCCCCCTTCTTTTCTTATCAAATGCCCTCTTATTGTCACCCTGGGCCTTTGCCATTGCTTCCTGCAATACCTTGCTATTGGTTGACAAAAAGTTCAACATATCCTGCGTGGCCGGGACTGCGACCTCCGGGATCAGATCTGGCAGGAATACAGGGTGGAACCCGTAGTTTGCGAAAAACGGGGACTGTCTAGTAGCCGAGTGACTCGCATTGTTATACGCGCATTCCGCAAGTGGCAGGAGAGTAAACCAGTCATCTTGGAGGAAAGTGGTATAGCACCTGAGGTACTGCTCTAGGGTCTGGTTTGTACGCTCCGTCTGGCCATTGGTCTGTGGGTGGTAAGCGGAGGAGAATGATAGCTTAATTCCCAGGGTATCACATAGAGCTTTCCAGAACCTGGATGTAAACTGAACCCCTCTGTCAGATACAATATCCCTGGGAATTCCGTGGAGTCTTACCACTTCCTTAATAAACACACGTGCTGTCTCAAGGGCCGTAGGTGTGTCCTTTAGAGGTACAAAATGGGCCATCTTGGACAGGCGGTCTACAATCACGAAGATTGCTGTGTGGTCCTGAGAGGGTGGAAGTTCCACAATAAAGTCAATGGAAATCATTGTCCATGGTCTGTCAGGTATTGGTAATGGACGCAAGAGACCCCAAGCCTTATTCCTAGTAGGCTTGTTCCTCTGACAAACGGGACAGGTTTTTACGTAAGTTTCGCACTCTCTGGCCATATTAGGCCACCAGAAAGTACGCTGCAACAGCTCCAAGGTCTTACATACCCCAAAGTGCCCGGCCAGCGGGTGATCATGGCAGTATCCTAATACCAATGTACGGGCTTCCTCAGGGACCACAATCTGATCCTCCTTCCAGAGGAGTCCCTCCCTATTTAGTAAGGGGACACCGGGGGGACCTTGCATACCTACGGACGCGGTCTGCAATTGAGAATGGAGCTCCGATTGGAGGGCTAGGAAATTCCCTGGGGACAGGATAGTGTCTGGCTTGGGACTCTCTTCGGGATCCCCAAACATGCGGGAGAGCGCGTCAGGTTTCGTGTTCTTAGACCCTGGCCTATAGGTTATATGGAAAAAGAACCGTGAAAAGAACAGTGCCCACCTGGCCTGACGTGGCCTCAGACGTTTAGCTGTTCTCAAATACTCTAGGTTCTTGTGATCCGTGAAAATCAATATCGGGTGTACCGCCCCCTCTAACAAGTATCTCCATTCCTCTAGTGCCACCTTGATCGCCAAGAGTTCCCGATCCCCGATATCATAATTCCTTTCAGCAGGAGTTAGTTTCCTGGAGAAGAAAGCCACCGGGTGCACAAGCTCCTTGATGCCCTTCCTCTGGTACAGGATCGCCCCGACCGCATTCTCGGATGCGTCTACCTCCAAGATATATGGCAAGGACGAATCGGGGTGGCTCAAAATAGGAGCTGCCGTAAACAACTCTTTTAAGGCTTCGAATGCCCTCTGTGCCTCAGGTGTCCACTGGAAGCGGACCCCCTGCCTGGTCAGCTGGGTGATAGGGGATACTAGGCCCGAAAAGTTCTTAATGAACTTCCTATAAAAGTTTGCGAAGCCGATGAAGCGTTGGACCGCTTTCTTATCGGTGGGTGCTGGCCAATCTAAGATGGCCGAAACCTTTTGGGGATCCATGGCTATTCCCGTGGGAGAGATGGTTAGACCCAGAAATGAAATACTACTCTGTTCAAAGCAGCACTTGTCTGCCTTGGCATACAAGCTGTGTTGGCGGAGCCGTTCTAACACTCGCCTCACGTGACCCCTATGGTCCTCCAAGGTTGGGGAGAAGATAAGGATATCGTCTAGGTATACAATGACGAAGATATCCAGATAGTCCCTGAACACATCGTTTATGAAATGCTGGAAGGTGGCTGGAGCGTTGCATAGGCCGAAGGGCATAACCAAATATTCAAAGTGTCCGAATCTGGTACGGAATGCTGTCTTCCACTCGTCCCCCTCTCTGATACGGACTAAATTATAGGCACCTCTCAAGTCTAGTTTAGTGAAGACAGATGCTGATTTTAGCCTCTGAAAAAGTTCGGGGACTAGTGGTAGCGGGTAACGGTTCTTCACCGTGACTTTATTCAAGTCCCGGTAATCTACGCAGGGCCGGAGGGACTTGTCCTTTTTTTCCACAAAGAAAATGCCCGCCCCAGCTGGTGACGTGGAGGGTCTAATAAACCCCTTATGGAGGTTTTCATCGATGTATTCTCTCAGCACCCCTAACTCCCGCTCGGATAAGGGGAATATCCACCCAAATGGAATCTCCGACCCTGGGAGGAGATCAATTGGACAGTCATAACCTCGGTGCGGGGGGAGAGTGTCCGCCCCCCGCTTGCTATGCTAAACACATCCAAAAAACTATGGTAGGCCGAAGGAATGACTTGCGCCAGTTCCACATCTGTCTCTAGACACAACAAGGTCTCCGGAATCGGAGGCAATGCTGTCTTAGGGAGGCAATGCTGCTGGCAGTATGTGGAGAGGAACTGGATAGAACCCGTCTTCCAGTCCACCTGGGGATTATGGGCTCGTAACCACGGGAGCCCCAAAATAATTGGAAATAATGGGGTCTAACCGAAGGAGTTCTTCATGATGGGTCGATATAATAGTACGGATAGGTGGGGTCTCGTGGTCCACCACCCCTGACTTAATACGGGATCCATCTGCCAGAAAAATATTCAATCCCACCTCCTTAGGCTGTAGGGGGTTGCTGAACTGCAAAGTCCAAATCTATGAAGCAACTACACGCCCCCGAATCCACAATTGCTGTGGTCACCACCGTTCTCCCCGGCAGCTGAAGTGACACAGGTACCGCTAGATAACTAGTGCTGCCCACACTGGTAGAATTGACCGTAGAAAAAAACAGCGGAACACTTACCCCCCTTGGCTGGACAGGTACGTACCACATGGCCTGCTCCCCCACAGTATAGGCAGAGATGGTTGGTAAGACGCCTCTGGCTTTCCTCAGGTGTAAGTGTCGGCCGTGTCCTTCCCGGTGGCCCGGTCTTGGGTGTATCCATAGCATCCTGATTCCGGCTTGCCGGCTGGAACTGGGTTGAAGCCTGGGGGGGTGTTTCAGTTGGTCCTTGTCCTTGGTTGCACCTTTCCTGCCTGCGCTCCCGCAACCGGCGGTCAATTCGAATAGTCAATGCTATTAGGGCCTCCAAAGTACTAGGTATGTCTATTCGGGCCAATTCGTCCTTCAGTGATTCAGCTAACCCTATGCGGAACTGGTGGTGCAGAGCCGCCTCGTTCCATTGGCTGTCACTACGCCAACGCCTGAATTTGGCGGCATAGTCCTCCACTGTCCGGTGACCCTGCCTGAGTGTATATAGGGCCCTCTCGGCCGTTGCGGCGCGCAGCGGGTCGTCATACAAGAGGGCCATAGCCTCAAAAAATACTGTCACTGACCTCAACAGTGGGTCTCATTTCTCTAGGAGCCGGTGGGCCCAGTCTTGGGGTCCTCCCTGTAGTAGGGCAATGATGAACCCTACTCTCACTGATTCAGAGAAAAAAAGGTCCGAGGCTGGAGGTCAAAGTATAGCTCTCACAGGAGCTACGAAAGGCCCTGAATCTACTTCAGTCTCCAGAAAAACGTTCTGGTGTGGGGACACGGGGTTCAGGCGCGGGTAACAACCCTGGTGTCTCCCTAGTGGGTTCCCCATACCCCCTGGTAGATGTAGCTATGGTCTGCATGCGACTGTCGAATCTTGTATAACCCTCCTGTAGACCCCTAATTCCTAGTGTAAGGGTCTCCATCTGTCGGCAGATGTCATCCAGAGGGGACGTTCCCCTTCCAGGCTCAGTCATGGCCGCAAGGTACTGTCAGGCTCCGCCCAACGGGATCTCTAGTGGTCCACAGCACGGGGTTTCCCAGGACGCGGAGTCTAAGTCCCAGTCTGCCTTTTCACCAGGGCCCCTGATGGTGGGGATGGACTTGGTGCAAGACTGGAACCAGGTCGCGCCCCTGGGCACCCCCGGCGGTGGCAGAGGGGTCCCGCTGAGGGTATGTGCCCGGGATGAGCCTGCTGTGAAGGGGATGACAGGTCCGATCCGAGCGGATGGATGGGATGACAGATCCCGATCTGAGCGGGATGGACGGATGACAGATCCCGAGCGGGATGGATGGGTGACAGCTAGGAGTGAGCGAGGTCAGACTAGCCGGGTTGGTATCGTGCGGGCAGCGTGGTACAGGGGGAGTAAGCGGAGAATGGTCGGGGTCACAAGCCAGGTTCAGCAGGTAGCGGGCAGCGCGGTACCGAGGGTCAGGCAGAAGGATGGTCAGGGACGAGCCGGGGTCAGAGCAGGAGAGGGTCAGCATAAGTCAGAACAGGCAGAGTTTGGCAACAAGGAAGCGTACTTACAGGATCAGGAACAAGACCTTGCGGCAACCTGGAGATGCACAGGGCAGCTTTAAATAGAGCGCCCTGTTCTCCCATTGGTGCGGCCGCGATCGCTACTGCGCATGAGCGGCCATCGCCGAGGACTCTGCACTCACCGGCTGGGACGGATCGGCCGTCTGCGCATGCGCGCACCGCCAAGGACCCGGGATCCCCTGACAATGCCCTGCGCTGTCACAAATCGCTGCAAGGTCTTATCCTGTTACCTGAGTTCCTGTACCCCTGTGATTGTGGTATTTTGACCCGGATTGCCCTGACTACGCTGCCTTCTCCTCTTTTTGACCCAGATTGCCCTGACTACGCTGCCTTCTCCTGTCCTGACCCCCGGCTTGTTTGACCTCTCTGCGGACTGACTATTTCAATACTGACCCTGCGTGTGACCTGACTATCCTTTGCCTGCCGATTCTGTACCTCGCTGCCCCCATGGTGACAACTGGCTAGTTTTGACTACGATCCGTCCATCCATCCATTCATCCTGCCTGGGCCTGCTGGCCTCCTCACATCTGGCACTCCTCCTGTATCCATCCCCGGAGGTTTCCTCTGCCACGGGTGGGATTGCTCGAAGGTCGTGACCTGGTCCTGGTCTGCTTCAAGTCCATCCCCACCATCAGGGACCCTGGTGAGCACGCAGACTGGGACTTAGACTCCACGCTCTGGGTATTCCTGTCCAGTGGGCTGCCAGAGGCACCACCTGGCGGATCCGTAACAACCCCTCCCCAAATGAGGCGATTGGTTCTCTGCTTTATACTGGCATATACAGGAGAGCAAAAAATTATATCTCCTTAACCATCCAAGCAGGTATGTCCTATTTCATAAAAAATACAGAAATCCCCCTGCGCTCCACAGAACCTAGTGAGTTAGCTGCTATCACCTATTCTATATACCACAAGATAAGTGAAACAAAATAATATAAGTGGTGAAGCGCTCAACTTAAATACTCAAAAACTAGTGCAATATCCCCATATATAAATATTTAAATCCCTAGTGATATAATAATACACAAATGATACCTCTTAGGCTATGCAGATATACAAATAATACTAATAAATAATAATGAATAGAAAACTAGTGCAATATCCTCATATATAATATATATCCCTGGTGATATAGTGATAACTAATATCTCTTAAACTGTGCAAAAAAGTGATACTGAAATGCAATTGATTATATCAATTTAAAATAAAATATTAATTAAAATAGTGATGCCACACTGTGCAAAAATTATAACAAAGTGTTCAAATATTGCCACTCCATGCTGAAATAGTGCTCTTCGTGAAAATCTTGATGTGACTCCCCTCAATAGCAGAAATGCCCCCTCACCTTCCACATTCGACCCTTGCGGGTCACAGAGCTTTTTATATATATATATATCTCTCTGCCAGATGTTAATCTCCTCCACTGCCTCCACCGACCATGATCCTCCTCCAGGCAGTCAGTACCACTCCAATTACTCCCCTCACACAACGAACTCTGCCAGAAAGTATTCTCCTCCACTGCCACCAGTAAGCCACAGAGCCGCGTCACGGCACCCTGAGTATCTGTGGTCCTAACTCTACAAGTCTAAAGAGTCTCTTTAGACTTGTAGAGTTATAGAGGAGGTAGAGTTGTAGAGGAGGATCATGGTCGGTGGAGGCAGTGGAGAAAATTAACATCTGGCAGAGAGATATATATATATAAAAAGCTCTGTGACCCGCAAGGGTCGAATGTGGAAGGTGAGGGGGCATTTCTGCTATTGAGGGGAGTCACGTCAAGATTTTCACGAAGAGCACTATTTCAGCATGGAGTGGCAATATTTGAACACTTTGTTATAATTTTTGCACAGTGTGGCATCACTATTTTAATTAATATTTTATTTTAAATTGATATAAATCAATTGCATTTCAGTATCACTTTTTTGCACAGTTTAAGAGATATTAGTTATCACTATATCACCAGGGATATATATTATATATGAGGATATTGCACTAGTTTTCTATTCATTATTATTTATTAGTATTATTTGTATATCTGCATAGCCTAAGAGGTATCATTTGTGTATTATTATTATATCACTAGGGATTTAATATTTATATATGGGGATATTGCACTAGTTTTTGAGTATTTAAGTTGAGAGCGCTTCACCACTTATATTATTTTATGTCCTATTTCATACCTAGACGTTCCGCAGGTGATTCTGCGTACTAGTGGCAAGGCTGCTAAATGAACCAAGAATAAGTTATGAACCATGACATACAGTTAGGTCCATATATATTTGGACACAGGCACAATTTTAGATTTTTTGCAGGTATTTACCAAAATATTTTCAAGCTATAGTTATATAATGGATATGGGCTGAAAGTGCACACTCTCAGGTTTAATTTGAGGGTATGTACATCCAAATTGGAGGAAGGGTTTAGGAATTACAGCTCTTAAGAGTAGCCATCCCCCTTTTTCAAGGGACCAAAAGTAATTGGACAATTGAATCAAAAGCTGTTTCATGGCCAGGTGTGGGCTACTCCATTATTTCTTCATCAATTAAGCAGGTAAAAGGTCTGGAGTTTATTCTAAGTGTGGTATTTGCATTTGGAATCTATTGCTCTGAACCTACATCATGCGTTCAAAGGAACTGTCAATGCAAGTAAAACAGGCCATTGTAAGGCTTCAAAAACAAAACAAATCCATCAGAGAGACAGCAGCAACATTAGGAGTGGCCAAATCAACAGTTTGGTACATTCTGAGGAATGAAGAACGCACTGTTGAGCTCAGCAACATAAGGCATGGACGTCCACGGAAGACAACAATGGTGGATAGTTGCAGCATCTTCTCTATGGTAAAGAAAACCCATTCACAACATCCAGACAAGTGAAGGACACTCTCTAGGAGGTGGGCGTATAATTGTCAAAGTCTACAATCAAGAGACTTCATGAGGGCAAATACAGAGGGTTTACCACAAGGTGCAATCTATTCATAAACCTGAAGAATAGAAAAGCCAGATTAGACTGCCAAAAAAAACATCTAAAAAAGTCAGACCAGTTCTGGAAAAGCATTCTTTGGACAGATAAAACTAAGATTAATCTGCACTAGAGTGACGGGAAGATAAAAGTGTGCAAATCGGCAAATCAATCGGGCAGGTAGGTACAGGGGGAGCAAGCGGAGAATGGTCGGGGTCACAAGCCAGGTTCAGCAGGTAGCGGGCAGAGTGGTACAGAGGGTCAGGCAGAGGGATGGTCAGGAACGAGCCGGGGTCAGAGCAGGAGAAGTCAGCAGAGGTCAGATCAGGCAGGGTCAGCGACAAGACAGGAACAGGATGCAGGAACAGGATACGGGGCCCAGGAAAAACACACACCAAGGCAGAGTCTGCAGGTCTGGCCATCCCTTAAATACACCAGTATAATCAGTTCCAGGTGTTTGACTGGCTGCAAGGTTGAGTCTCTGATTGCTCGGAGCACCCACTGGCCAGCCCTGGTACTGCAGCTCATAAGGCAGGTGAGTCCCACTATTGCTGGCCAGTCCATTCCTGACACACACAACGTCATCTGTAAAACATGGTAGAGGCAGTGTGATGGCATGGGCGTGCATGGCTTCCAGTGGCACTGGGTCTTTGGTGTTCATTGATGATGTGACAAACGACAGAAGCAGCCGGATAAATTCTGCATTGTTTAGAGATATACTGTCAGCCCAGATTCAGCCAAATGCAGCAAAGTTGATTGAATGGAACTTATTAGTACAGATGGACAATGATCCAAAACACACTGCAAAAGCAACCCAGGAGCTTTTGAAGGAAAAGATGTGGAATATTCTGCAATGGCCGAGTCAATCACCTGATCTCAACCCAATTGAGCATGCATTTCGCTTGTTGAAGGCAAAACTAAAGGCAGAAAAACCCACAAACAAAGAAGAAATGAAGACAGCTGCAGTTAGAGCCTGGCAAAGAATCAGAAAGGAGGAAACCCAGTCTTTGGTAATGTCCATGGGTTCCAGACTTCAGGCAGTCATTGCCAATAAAGGATTCTGAACAAAATATTAAAAATGAATTTATTTTTATTTATGATAATAATTTTGTCCAATTACATTTGAGCCCCTGAAAATGGGAGGGACTGTGTATAAAAATTGTTGCAGTTCCTAAAATTCAACCCCTTTGAATTAAAGCTGAAGGTCTGCACTTCAAATACATTTGGATTGTGTTGTTTTACTTTATTCTGGTGGAATACAGAGCCAAAAGTATGAAAATCGTGCCTGTGTCCAAATATATATGGACCTAACTGTAAACTGAGAGTCTTTGGTTCTAGCTTGGGTCTCCGCCCAAACACCCCTCCCCAAATGAGGCGATTGGTTTTCTGCTTTAAGGAGACACCCTGCTGAGTTCCTAGAAAAAGCTGAGCTAAGCTGAGTTGAAAAAGTTGAAGATTCTCCCTTTTAACATCAGGGATAAGGCATCGTTTTGCCTCTGAAACCTGATCTGCTTAACCCAAGGCTGACGGCAAGTACTTTATCCCTCTAAACTTCTTTCTGTTATCTCTTTGCTGTGCTATTGCTTTCTGTGTGTGTGTGTGTATATATATATATATATATATATATATATATGTGTGTGTATATATGTGTGTGTGTGTGTGTATATGTATATATATATATATATATGTATATATATATATATATATATATATATATATATATATATATTGGCTACATCTTTTTCTGTAAATATTTTTATTGCACCCTTTTGACCTTTGTGTAATAAATCTTACTTTCTGAAAGTGTTGACCTGTTTCTACAGCTCTTTAATGCAATCTAAGAACCCCTGCCTCTGAAGAGCGCTACTGTGTGTGTGTTTTAAACTTCGGTATATCTCTGCCTGCGGTGACAGTGGTATACCGACGCTTATGCAAACATCATAGTGTTATTGCTGATATTGCCGAGTTTCTTCTTTCTCTGTACAAAAAGGAGGTGGTGGCAGTGTGAAGGGTTAATTGCGTAATTTACCTGACCCAGTAACAATCGCTCCCAGGCTGCCAGTACACAGATTGTGGTCCATTAGCTGGAAAATCTTTGTGCAGCTGGGGCGTGGCATTGTTACACACGTGACAGCGCGGTTTTTAGAGTGGCTAGTCCTTCAGTCACGAGTTTGGTGAGAAGGGCTGGGGTCTGACACCACGATCGTCAAAGTCAGAGCCATTTGTGAATGCAAAAAGTTTTGTTTTCTTCAAAATACTTAAATGGAAACACTGCAGATAAACACGTATTTCATTTTTGCTGCGTTTTGCTGGTTTAAATCTGCCTAGCAACAAGAATGAAAAAAAAGGCAAAAAAAAAAATGCATCCAAAACTTGTGCAAAAACACATTGCAGAGACGGCTACAATGCAACCTGTGTAGGTGTGAACCTAGCCTTAGGCACTTGAGTGCACATTTTGGCACAGGTGATTTTAACATGCATTTTTTGGGTCAAAGCATGTATGTTTGCATTTGTGAAAAGTCCATTTTTTTTTTAAGGCATATTTTGGCAAACTGCACATCTGCATTCCACTCTGGGGTGACATTAACAAAATAATGTCACTGCAAACATGACACACATTTTGCATGCGTTGCCAGAACACACACACAAAAATGCTGTTAGGAAATGAGCCAAAGTACATGTACCAAAAGCACAAAACATGCACATCCAAATTTCTAATCACATTTTAAGAAACATGTGTTGACCAAAAAAGCTGCAAAAATGTTGTTTACAAAATGCACCGCATATGAGCATTAAAATGTCCAACAAAGCAAAAATGGAATTTTTTCTACTCATGGAGTGTTGTGTATTTTTTCAATGCTCATTTAGGTGCGTGGCTAGCATATTTGTTAAATGCTAAAATGTGCATCAAAATGCATGTTTGCTACCAGCATTTGGGGTGCCATTTACAATGAATGGCACCCAAAAGCACACCGCGTATTTTAAGACCATTTAAGCACAATTTGAAGTACAGCAAGAATTGTGCAATTCTGCATTGCTCAGCTGAGAATGCATTGTAAATGACAATACAATATAATTATACTATATGTATGTAATGTGTATACACACACGTATGTAGATAAAGATCATGTTTTGGCTTACCTTTTGGGACAATTATCCCCTGCTTTTGTGTGGGATATTTTGTATGTTTTGATTAAACAAACATCTAAAATTTTATTTTTTTTCCCTTTTTTTTGTCATCCACAGATCCTCCTCATCCGCAAATATGATGGTGGCTTGTCCAACTTCACCAAGCAGATCACCCTGCGCCATGTTAAGCATCGGCTGTGGCAGAGATTTCAGCATCGCTCCACTGTGCTGAAGATACAGCACAGTTGAAGAGATGTGAAGGGACGCAAAACCCAGCCTTTTTTTTTAAAAAAAGTGGCCCTACCGAATTCCTGGTAAGTCGAGTTTGTTAAAAAATATCCAAGTAAAGTTTTTAGTATTGTGAAAAAAGGTTTTGCTACATTCTTTCTTAATTTTTTAGGCAATAATGTTGTCTTTGTTGACTTGTACTAACCACAGCTGATGGGTACCAGGCAATGGTCTGCTTGGTGAAGAAGTCACACACCGTGAGGACAGCCACCATTCACTATTACCTGCCACAGGGGGGTCATCCCCCACGCAGGCTACAAATTGTGGAAGGTAAGCGCAAGCTCTGGAAGCTTATACCTCATGACCCCACTGATCTACAGTGACTGTCAATTGTACAATAATGCCCACATTGTTTGTAAATGACATGATAACCATTTGTTAATCACTAATAGAGCTGTCTTTGGTGTCATTTGATCCCCCAATGGCTGTTTTTTTGTGATTAGAGATTTTGGCATACAAACATTATGGCTTAGATGTTCACAAACATATCCCATCCAAAATCTCAGCCATCATATTTTTGTTTAACAATTGACAGAATTGGATTTCTTTTGACCCATTAAATTACAATAAGTGTATATTATGTATGCTGTTTGTAAGTTGCAGAGTATACAAATTATGGGATATTTCTGACTAAAATGCAACTCCACGATCTACTGACATCCAATCTCATTTGGGGAGGCCCCATAAAATGACAGGACAGTAGAAATATTCCACAATGCATAGTACGTTAATATTAACACATGAATACAGTATTACAGTAGAGAGAGGGGAAATCTGTTTTTTTTTTTTTGGGGGGGGGGGGGGGGGATTTCATAATCTTGGCTTGTCCTTACATTGAGGATCATTGTAACTGAAATGTTTAACATTGTCCGGACTTGCTTACATTTACTACTGCCATGTGGCCTTTTTTGTGATCTGGTATAGTCTACAGCCAATCATATTGTCCAGGGTGCTGTGATTTGTCCAAATACCATGTGATAAGTGTTGTCCAATCCTATTAGGACTTCCAAGAGTTCCTAATATCTAAATTGACATTGTGATCATGTCATTGCATAGCAAATACAGTTGTGTTCAAAATAATAGAAGCCAGACATCACTAACCTGATCAATCACTGTTTTTGGTAGAAATGATATTTCTACATGACAAATAATTTACTAGCAGGTGTACTAGAGTAATAGAAATCCAACAGACCCAACAGTCATGACATGCATGCTTCTGATTCTGTGTAATTGAATCACTAATTGAAAGGGGCATGTTCAAAATAATAGCAGTGTGGAGTTCTATTAGTGAGGTCATTCATTCTTTGAAAAACAGGTGGCAGTTATTGCCCTTATTTAAGGAAGGAAGGCAGCAAATGTTGTACATGCTGGTTACAGTGCATTCCTCTCTGAAATTCTGAGGAAAATGGGTTGTTCCAGACATTGTTCAGAAGAACAGTGTACCTTGATTAAAAAGTTGATTGGAGAGGGGAAAATATATAAAGAAGTGCAGAAAATGATAGGCTGCTCAGCTAAAATGATCGCAAATGCTTTAAAATGGCAACCAAAACCTGAAAGACGTGGAAGAAAGCAAAAAAATCTACCATTCGAATGGATAGAAGAATAGCCAAAATGGCAAGGACTCAATCAGGAAGATCAAAGAAGGTCTAAAGTTACCTGTGAGTACTGTTACCATTAGAAGACGCCTATGTGAAGCCAAGCTATCTGCAAGAAGCCCCCGGCAAAGTCCCACTGTTGAAAAAAAGACATGCTGAAGAGGTTACAATTTGCCAAAAATCACATTGACTGGCCTAAAGAGAAATGGTGCAACATTTTGTGGACTGATGAAAGTAAGATTGTTCTTTTTGGGTCTAGTGGCCGGAGACAGTTTATCAGACGACCCCAAACACTGAATTCA